CTGTACCCCACCTAAAGGACATGGCCCCTTGCTGGGCTATCTGTTGGGTGGAGGGGAAGCTGAGGGGGACAGGGACAGGTCACTGATGACACAGGTCATCTTTGATCCACACTGAATGGAGCAAAAAGGCATGGAAACATGTAAGGCAGTTCAGAGGGAGGCTGTGAGGCTTACGTGTTTGGTGTCTGCTCTTCCAGTTACAATTGCAACCCAAGCTGCACCTTGCAGGAGAGTTTTGTGTGTGTTTCTTGAGCTTTGAAGCTGTGAACATGTCCCCTTCTGCACGCTCCTAATAATCCTTGAACTAAAAGGCCTAGAAGCTATCTAAGGAGTAGATGAATGGTTGCTAAATGTGCAGAGGGGAATGGTGGCTGTAGTGATGCCTACCTCCTCTTAAACTCTGTGTGGAAATCTTGTAAGAGCTGCTTGTGCCTGTGCTGTGTCATATCCCGGTCCTGCCAGCAGGAAAAGGCAGCAGAATGTGGAGTCAGAGCCTTCCTGGTCACTTCTGCTAACACCTGCTGAGTCTGAGTTACGTGGGCGTAGTGAGAGCTGGCCATTTCTAACTGGACTTAGGGGCATCAGTGCAGTCCCCATCCTGGTTCTCCTAAGTGTGGTGCATGGTGCCCCATGGCACTGCCTTGGCGAAGGGATGGTGGCAGTCCAGCATTATGGAAGTCTGTGCATAGCTTGTGCTGACTTTGCTTTGTATTTTAGCCCCAGCTAAAATAGCAACTTTGGTATAATGCAGGGGAAGTAAGGTAGAGAAGATGCAAAAGCTGTTAGTGCTGTGAAACCTGGACATTGTCTTCTGAAGTGTGCTGTGTACGGACATGCAGCTTGAGATACCCCTTCACCCTAACTCTGCTGGGTCAATGTTTGACTCTGTCCTTCCACATCATATGGAGATGTTTTGAGCAGTGGGCTTTGGACTCGGTGAATGTTTGCAGTGTGCACAGTTTGCTGTGGATGATGGCACCTGCAGCTTTCGTTTCCTGCAGGCACCACCAGTGTACCTACATGAGTGGGTTAATCTGGTGACCCTCACTCCTGCCACCACTTTGTGGCCTTGGCATTGGGAATCTCTGACTTTTCCTTCTGAGGTGACAGCCCGGAGCAACAAGGCTGTTCAGATGGTGTGTGCTGCGAGAGGCTCATCTGGAAGATGTGTCCCTCAACCACACTGACTTGGGGAGGTACGAAGGGAAGGATGCAGCCGCCTTCTCAGGCTGGAGCTGCCCTTAGAGAAGGTGCAAATAGGCTGTGGAAGTGCTCATAAAGCAAATGCTGCTGCCCCTGCATTTGAAAAGACATGTGCTGTCAGGTATTGGTTGATGGGAATGAGGCAGTTCAGTCTGGCATCTCAACTTTTGGAGTCCTTGGCCAAATGTGGATGAAGGCACTGGGGATCTTTTCTTCTGTAGCCATGCTGCAACATGCAACCTGGATGCTGACTTCCCAGGGCTTTCCAGCACTCAGATTTTTCTTGAAGGAGCTGGTTTGGGTTCTTGGATGTAAAGCACGGCATAGGCCATTTACACAGGCTTTGTAGTAAATATCCCTAAATGCTTTGATTATGGGTTTTCAACCCATCAGGCTTATTGGCCCGGCCTGTGTGGTTTGAGTCAGACAGCACAGAGCAGCTGAGTCATGGTGAACAGTGCAGGCACTGCCGTGTCCCGCTTCTTTGCCAGGGATGTGGGACCTGTCCCCACCTTGCTGCAGTTGTCCTGTGACTCAGCCAGCACTGAAGCTGCAGCAGACAGCCCTCAAGAGGGGGGACAGCCAGGCCCAGCTGGAGGATCTTCCAAGTTTCTCTGCCTCCCACCCTTGGTGGTGTGTGGGATGCTTTAAATGCCTGTGCTCAGAGCTGTGCCTGTAGATGCCTGTGTGGCAAACTGCCCATGTTTGCAGGATGGGGCTCTGTTCCTCTTATCTCTGCCCTCTCTCAGGGAGAGAGCAGCCCTGCAAAGAGTTGTCTGTCCCTAGCTGTGAGTACTGTACTGGTCTCCCTCCCTGTGTCCTCAAAGAGCGGAGTTAGAGGCTGTGGCAGCAGCACGCCTGTTTTCTGATGAGGATTAGATCACACTGTTGGTGGCCACTGGCATGGGTGGCTGCCACCCCTCTCCTTGCCCTGCCACCAGTGGGGCTGCTGAGTACTCACCCCTACCTACTCCCCTGCCCCACACCTGCTGGCTCTGACCTGGGCTTCTTCATCTCGTTGCAGCTGGACGAGGAAGAGGAGAGGAGGAAAAGGCGCCGGGAGAAAAACAAAGTAGCGGCAGCACGGTGTCGTAACAAGAAGAAGGAGAGGACGGAGTTCCTGCAGCGGGTGGGTGCTCTGACCTGTCCCAAGGCGCAGCAGGGACCTCAGCAGGGCCAATTCCCTAGAAAGGTGCCCCAGCTGTGGGCAGTGCTCCCTCCTGAACTGCCCCTCTGCAGCCAGGTGGGGGTTTGGCTCTGGTGCAGTGGAGACCTGTCCTAGGAGGTGGCCTTGTGTCTCCTTGTGCTGGCACTAGGTAGTGCCAGGCATTGGGGCTAGGGATGAACGGCCTGAAAGGACCTGGTGCCTTGGCAGGTCCTCAGGCTGCTCCTGTGCTGCGGGGGCTGAGGGGCGTCACTGTGCAGAGATGGCTTATTGACCAAACTGTTTCTCCTTGCATCTTGCCATGCTGGGACAAAGTCATGTGTGGTTGTATTTCTGTCCTGCTAGGAGTCCGAGCGTCTGGAGCTCATGAACGCTGAGCTGAAGGCCCAGATAGAAGAGCTGAAACAGGAGAGGCAGCAGCTGATCCTGATGCTGAACCTGCATTGTGCGGACAGACAGCATCAAGACGCCTGAGAGCGAAGCCAACCCGCTGCTGGAGCAGCTAGAGAAGAAGTGAAGGTGTCACTGGGCCAGGAGGAGGAGACGGTGGCGCAGGGTCTTCCAGGGTCTCTCATGTATGTACTGTATGAAGAACTGTGCACCCAGGCCTGGTGCAGCCAGGACCCAGTGGGCTTCCTTGGGAACTATGGACCAAACAAATATGGGGACAGAGAAGATCAGAAACCTGTCAACCATGTACTCTGAGGCTGAACCTGGGAGCAGGGCTAGCGGCGCCGGTGAGGGCAACCTCCCTGTGATACCTCATCATGGCCCTTCAGTCTGCTCGCAGTCCCGGGGACCCATGACGCTGCAGCACGTCCCACAAGAGCCGTGCACCCCGTGGGGAGCGGGGGCTGCAGGCAGAGGAGCAGCGGCCACGCGGTGCCCGCCAGCGGCCTGCCCAGGCGCTGCCGCCGCTGCCG